AGGTGTGAGTTAGGCAATGAGGATTTTCTAAACGAATGATTGAGCGGGGGGGGGAGTTAGCGTTGCAAAGAAGATTAAAAAAAACAAAATGAATTAATAGAGAGAGAGGGAGACAGCGAGTAATGCATTTGACGGGATTATATAAACGGATGGTAGAGCGTGGAACGCTAGCTTTTGCAAAAGAAAAACAAAACTGAAGTAATAGTGTAATACTGTTTGTCGTTGCCGCGGTAAAACGGAAGGAATTTTTGTTAGAAAATAAGAAAGTGTTATGTACTGAAAGACATTGAAGCGAAAAGGGTTAACAGCAAAAACCCGTGGCAAGATTTGTATGTCGAGCAGTTTGAACAATGGAAAAGTGACGCAGATTTAGCGGACAATGTGGATTGACACACAACTGCAAATGCAAGCTGTAAAGAGAAAATTTCATTATTTGTAAACAACGAATTTGGTGTTGATTCTCCTGGTCGAAAGTTGAATTGAAATAACAGGAGGCGGTGGATAAGACGAGGTTTAGTGAGAGTTAATAATATGAGAGAGTGGAAGAAGGGATTCCCCAGAATTATCGAATTCTCTTACTTCGCCACTGTGGGCGAATGTCAATGAATACAAATGAGCAAAGCGAATTAGGCAGAAGATAGAAGAAAGGCAGAAGAGAAGGATACTAGACAAGAGACAGGAGAGACGGTATTTAGTCCCCCCACCACGTGGGCATCATGTGGAACAAAGCCGGTTTAACGTGGGATCTCCGAGCCCGTGGACTCGGCCAAAAATATGCCCATTGAACCCATATAAACGGGTTCAAGGTCGGTTTACCTCCCCGAAAGAGACTCCGACCTTCGGCGTAGCCTACTTCGGGTTCCTCCCCGCCCGAAGACAGAGAGTTCAACCGGTCAGCCAGTCGTCCGAATTCAGACTGAACTCAGACTGACTCACTGAGCGACGATATTTAGTCAAAACGATGGCATCATGTGGAACAAAGCCGGTTTAACTTGGGATCTCCGAGCCCGTGGACTCGCCCAAAAATATTCCCATTGAACCCGTATAAACGGGTTCACGTCGGTTTACCTCCCCGAAAGAGACTACGACCTTCAGCGTAGCCTACTTCTGGTTCCTCCCCGCCCGAAGACAGAGAGTTCAACCGGTCAGCCTGTCGTCCGACTTCAGACTGAACTCAGACCGACTCACTGAGATGGGAGAGACGCTTACATGATTATCTCCCAACTAAAGCCTCCGACTTCAGCCTTGTGCCGGACCTTACCAACAACAGCAAACCAGATTTTATCAAATCAACAATAATATCACTTCCGATTTAAACGCGGGTTGGGATGATAATTAATTGAATGCGAAATCTGATATAAACCAATTATTGTACGAATAGTTGATATAAAAACAGTATTTACTTTTGTTCACTTTAGTCGAGTTTTATTTTTTTTCCTGTACGTCTTGGACCAGCCCAACAGAAAGATACCTGCGAGAGTTTGATCTTGGCTGCCTTATGATCTAACAAAATCACAACGTGGGATAAGTCTAACTATGGTTTGAAGCGGTCACTTCAGAGACCAGCCACGGTGTTGGAATTCTTGGACGTCCTGTTGTACGATTAGAATAGGGACGAAGAGAGACGGCGAGTTATGTCTCTGACGGGATTATTTAAACGGATGGCTGAACGGAGAACGTTAGCGTTGCAAGAGGATAAAGGACCAGATTGAAGTAATGGGGACAGAAGTAGACACCGATTAATGCATCTGACGAGATTATATAAACGCATGGCAGAGATGGGAACGTTAGCGCTGTAAAGAGTTTAAACGAACAAATTGAAGCAATGAGGACGGAGGCAGAGAGCCAGTAATGTATCTGTGACACCATTTAACAGGACAAAAAAGAAAAGAAAGGAAAAAGAGAAAGGAAAGAAAGGAAAAGAGAGGCGAGACCCAAGCGTAGATGATAAAAAAAACACCCACGACCAGGGGCCTTGACAATGTTATTCGCAAATGGCGAAAAGGTGTCATTACCATTGCAGAAAAATTCTAAGTGGATAAGGGAATCGACTATGTTCTGGCGACGAACTTGTGTTATCGGGGATAGATAACAGCCGCTTAATGCTGGCAAACATCTAATTAGCAAACCACAGACCGACTAGCTAAGAGAACTCCAATTGATAATGTTATTTTGATAATTGACAAAGAACAGGTGAAATACAGGGCTTTGCATAGATAACAAAAATTAACTGTGTCGTCTGCTAAGCCGCACACGAAACCAACCCTGAGTAACGACTGACCGTTTTTGACAAGACATCTATAGGTGTTAGATAATAAAAAACTATGTTATCAGAAATTGGCACCAAGAATGACTAGAACAATGGAACTGTTTATTTCGAGACGACGGTCGACTGTGTTTTGCTGGACGACCACCCATTCTGATAATTAGCGAAAATCTGACTGACGAAGTCCAGATGAGAATAGAGGTTATCACAGTACTGGTCGCATTGTTCTGTTGGCGGCCAGAGAAAATGAGAGCTGCGATTAAGGAAAGAAAAGGAAAAGAAAAAGATAATTTTTTTTGAGCAAGATATATATTTTTTTTCTTCCTGAAACAAAGCCAGCTGGATCGCACACGTCCGGCTGGACATCATTGGCCGAGTGGTGATCACGTGACGCAAGGAGGGAAGCCACCGCCGCCCATTTAGAGGATGGGTATGAGAAGTTGCTACGAAGAAGTGGGGAGGGCCGTTGACGCCCCTCTGAAGTATGGTGAGAAGGTGGGTGTAAGAGAAGACTTCCAAAAATGGAAAGAAGTGGAAAATTCCTAACCAAAAATAAAAGAAGTGGATATATATTTAGAATTATCGAGGAACCTCCAACGCCGACAAACCCACCCCGGTTTTGGTCGGCGTCCATATAAGCAAAGTCGCAGCGAGCAGAAATCAGTTGAGTAGAGTACAGCTCAGTGGAGTAGAGTCAGGCAGGGTTTCCCGAAGAGTTCAGAGTGTTCAGTTGAAGCAGGCCTCGCAGCTGACTAAAATTCGCGCAACTTCCGAACTCATCTTCAATCCAAGAACAATTATTTTGAAGAGCGACTTAGATCCATACCACCAAAATAAGTTTTTCGACTTTTGCCTGAAGACACACCAAGAACCAATTTCTTAAAGAACAGACAACTTAAAGCGTTAAAACTCGCCTAACAAAAAAAACAACGTGTCACAATCCATATAACGTGTCGGGAGATAGACGCAGTCCTATGTATCCAGCAACTAGACATAAAGTATTGTTATCCTTTTTTTGATACCTTGAACTTTTGAGTTATCATTTTATTTCTTTTATACATATTTGTGCGATACCACCCTCGCTTGAACCCAACTTGCATTACGGCCCTAACGACTGACTGATTTCGTCTGCCTAAGATCAATTCACAACGTGGGTAGGCAGACTGGAGATCAACGCAGTTACTTTGGTAACCAGACGTTGGAAGCGAGTTGGGAACGACGAGGCCGATATCGAATCTAACCAGATTCACATCCGAATCACCAAAAGGTTAGAACGTCACATTTGGGTGCCGTGACCGATACCAAGCCAGTTGGTCGTCACAGGACGGGACAACACGACTGACGCAACAGGCGGACGTCACGTTTGGAGCGGCGACACCCGAACGAAGCAGCGAGGAGTGAGCGAAGGCTGTGTTTAGGGACGTCACAATCTGACGGGATTATATAAACGGATGACAGAGCGCTGAATGGAAGACATGGAAGAGAGACAAGAGTTGCTACCTTCAGCAAAACGCCAGAAAATTGTGGAGAACCACGTTCGCAGACATTCTGAAGGAACATGGCATATCCAGGAACCGAACAAAATTCTATAATGCCTGTGTATCATCTGAGAATCCTTAGGGAACCGAATGTCACAGGATCTTTATGAATGCATGGTGTTTAATCGGGGATCTGAAAGGAACATATTGCATTTAAGTTTATATAATCACTAGCAGTAGAGCCCGGCATTGCCCGGGGATGTAACAGTAAGAGATAGATCAAGTATCGACCATCATAAAGACTGAAAAATAAAATTGACAAAGATTATTGTTTAAGGTTGACGGACATGCATGTCTTAATTAGTTTTTTTTTTGTTTTTACAAATTAGTCAAACTCAAACAAAAACATTGTTTTCAATCGTTATGAGTCTACCAATTGAATAGAATTTTATTATAAACAATTGTCTTATAAATGGAATTTTTAAAGCATTCTGAATGTAAAAATAAAAGAAAAAAAAGTGTGCAAGATAATAAAAACACTACCTGCCAAAAAAAAAAAGAAGTTTTGTTGAAATCGTTTGAAAAATGTAGGAAATCCGATCCCATATATAAACACACACACACACACACACGCACAACCCACCTGGGTTTTGTAAGTATAATTTTATATGAGTTGTCCCCCTTTCATTCTGGCGACAGAATCCTATTTTCAAATTGATTCTATGCAAAAAGAATTGTGTTTTTCCAATTTTTGGCGCTGTCAGAACCACTGCAAGGTAATTTTACGTAGTCCTGTGAAGTTTTGTTGAAATCGGTTGAAAAATTTTGGAAATCCGATCCAATATATAAACGTACAGACACACACACACACACACACACACACACACACACACAATCTGCGTTTTATAATAAGTAAGATATACAGTAAAATTCAACAAGGGAAAGATAATGGAATAGAAGTGTGAATTGGTTAAAGCAATAACGAACCAAGGCCTCAGAAGCTTTAATATATTTGATATACCTGAAAAATATAATATTTGAAATGCATTTATCCTTTGCAGAAATTAGGTATCTGCAAAGCTATTTTTTTAAAGAATTCGGTAACAGAGTTTAGGTCATACTGACTTTCTCGTAGTGATTTAAAACAGGTCATAATAGATGGAAATAGGCAGAGAAATATAATGGTGTGAGCAGACAGATAGGGGGACAAACAGACATATGTAGACGTAGCTGGACACAGACAGAGAAGAAGACACTCAATGCTTGATGGAGTTGGACACAAAGAAAAGGAGACAGACTGACGTGTGCGTAGGTGGACGCAGACAGAAATGGAAACAAAAAAATGAGGGCGGAAGCAGGCATAGAGAAGTCAGAGGTGGATGGAATTTGACTAAGGAAGAGACGGACAAATGTGGACAGAAGTGGAAACAGTCAGAGAAAGAAACAGGTATAAATGGGCGGAAGTGGATACAGGTAGAAAAGGAAACAGACAGAATTGAATGGAGTCTGACAGGAAGAGTAGACAGACAAAGGTGCACAGAGGTGAACGCAGACCGAGAAGGCGACAGACAGAATTAGATGGAGTTGAACACAGGAATAGAAAACGGAGAATCAAAGGTGAACGGTGATAGAAACAGACAGTGAAGTAGACAGCATGTAATTGATGGAATTAGACGCATGCATAAAATGAGGCAGACGTAAGTGGACGAGACAGACGAGGGTGAACAGCAATTGACACCGACAAATAAAGAGACAGAGAGATATGGTCACAGCTGGACGCATGTGGAGAACGGGACTGATAGAAGTAGGTGGACATAGTAGACAAAGAGGTGTGGGCGGAAGGGGACACATACAGAGAAGGATACGGACAGACATGGTTTGTTTTAGACACCTGAAGAGAAGGGGACAGGCAGAAATACTGAGTGATGGACGCAGGCAGATGAGATAGGCGGTGGTGGCACAGACAGCGTATGATGCAAACAGAGAGGCGCGGATTTGAAAACAGGCCGAGTTTGAGTTTCAAAAGTGGACGGAGGTCGACAAATAACTGTGAGTCAGACTGAAGTAGACAGAGTTGGAGACAGGCAGAGCAAAAGAGAAAGATGGAAGTAGTTATTTTAGAAATTTAAGAGGATTGTCTGGAGTTCAGAAATGAACAAGTGTCATTATTCTATGCATTATTCATGTTATGATTACAATTTGCCGACCACTGCTACCGAGCGGACAGGGAAAACGTCTCATCTTTACTCCTATGGCATCCTTAATGCTGATGCTAGAATTTCTGATTCCTTCAATTGTTTGGATCAGTGGTTCTCAATCGTTTACATATGAACCCTGGAGGTCCGTATAACATTGCATAAAAAGATGGAAGACGCATGATATACAGAAGACAAATGACACTGTTAAGAATATCCACTACTCCGAGAGAGAGAAAAAAAGCACAATTCTACGTTATTGCTTTTCCATCAAATTACCTTGTTGAATCGGTTTTTCGTCATGTGTCTCACTTACTATCAAAAGTCCATAATAGACTCAAGGAACTCTTCGATTATCATTGTCATCGATGGGGCCGAATATATATATATAAAAAAAAATCGCTGAATAACAACAGGCATCTCACTGAATAAATCTTCACTTTATTTAATTTATTAAATATTTGCACATTTCAAAATAGTTTATTAGGAGTTATTTTACTGGTGTACATAAATGTTACATTGAATTTAGTTGTTAAGTACAAATTTATTTTTATTTACATTGTTCGGATTGTTGTCTCTTGTTGCCATATTCATGACGTTTCGGTCGTTCTACGCTCCGGGCTTCTTCAGGGGATTTGAATTTCGAAATGAACACTTTATTTCTTCCACCGGGGTAGATTGTTCTAGTTCCACGTGCCATGCCGCTTCTTGATGTCTCAGTATCAGTTTTCTTTCTAACTCAACAATCCAAGTTTTTTTTTTGTTTACCTCAGATGTAGCCATGTATTGAACTCACAACTCTTTGGGTTAAGTCACTGGATTCAACCAACGCTTTTATCCATTGGGTCATATAAACCTGAGGACCGAAACGTCGTGAATATGGAAACGAAGATAAGGGCAATAGTGCGAGCAGTTTAAATAGTGTAAATAATTACAGTAGCTCATCTCAGAAATATAGGAAGAAGATTTTTTTTTTTATTAAATTATTTTTACTTCGAAATAAAGCTTATACATTTACTTTTTATATAATACAATTCCTAAACTTATCTATTAGTAAAAAATTTAAAAAAATTTTTTTTTTCATTGGCTATGGGGATGAACAAAAAATTTAAGTGTAAAAAAAAGTTCATAGTTAAAAAAAAAAAAAGAAAAAAAAATGATGTGAAGCTCTGGTCCAGATATTAATTCTTATTTTGAGTATTGCATATTTTGTATTTATATATTTTGCATTTTTTAAGTGATATTGTAAGACAACCATCCTAAATAGATTCCGTTATAAAATCCGCTAGTTTCAGCTCTGAGACTACATCGATAAAACCTGAGCTGGTATAACGTAAAATGACGACCTATGAGAGGCTGTGTAGGTAGCGTAGCGGATATCGACGCGGAATAATTAAATCAGCAAACCCAGTTAAAATTCTGAACTGGCATCAAGCGTTCACTTTCGCAGACATGAATTCATTACGTTTACAACCAGTTTTGGACTAAAGAGAAAATTGGGGGGACTGGGATCTCTGGCTGCGGGTGGTAACTTGTCTGTTGGATGAAACTCTGAAATCCAAACCGCGGAGAGGTCAACAAGAAAACGCTCAATTATATTTGCAAAGAATGCATGTTAGTTTGCAGATAAAAAAAAAAAATACAAGGTATCTATGGATAGACAGGATCGCGTACATGTTTAAGGAACACGGAATTTAGCAAGGAAAAAA